TTTTTCATATTTGCAACAGGAATTGTTATGTGAGAAAACTCCTAAGGGAGATGGCCATATTTTTAAGACTAGTTGTAGATCTGTTACAGCTACAATTTACAGAAGTACCTCGGTACTCCATATTCAGGGGAGTACAGCATCATCATGGTGCGAGAAATTCATTGAGGAAATAAGTGTTGACGCATGTGACATAAATGAAACAAATATCATTATTTCCCAACCGCCGCCACAAATGGCATCTACGCCAAGGAGGAACCTATCGGATTATGCTCCGTGTAATGAAACTAAAGAATGCAGCAGGTAATTCTGCCTTACGCGTGGAGGAACTTTCATCAATTATTCAACGCTTAACTCAGGTAATCGAGTCGTTAAAAAAAGGAACTGAGTGAAAATGCAAATAAACGTGTAACCAGTTCAAGTACTCAGACAACCTGTACAGTCCTCAAACATAAAAACAATTGTACAAATGATCTGCCAAAGGCTTCTAACAATGTCACTTCTAGACATGTACAGTGTAATTAAGTTATACCAGAAGTATCTAGGAAAGAAAGCTCTACAAACATAGAACCACAACAACCTGAGCACCGGAAACTAGGAACAGTTCCGTCCAGAAACAACGTAATTCCACATCTAGCAACCAGCAGATAACTACACCCCTGATCGGAAGTTCAATTCTGCAACGTATTAAAACCCGTGGGTTATGTTCAAATGTTAGTGTGAATACCAACAGAGGAGCCAGCATTTCTTATATTCGTAAGGAATTGCAGCAATACGATGTGTCTTCTCTAGAAAATGTCATAATTCAGGCTGGAGGAAATGATGCCTCAAATAAACGGAATATGGAAGCAATAGAAAATGACTTTTCCGAGATAATGATGGATCTGAAGAAGAGGAATTCAAATATTAATGTTTTCATTTGTGAAGTCATGCCTCGAAAAGATGCATTGAACATTGATGTGAATGAAGCTATCCGTTTTTTGTGCGAAGAGTATGGTGCGACAGTGAGTGAATCAAGTCAAATTTTCAAAGCCTGGAATTCCCCTTTATACTGGAAGGACGGTATACATTTATCTGACCAAGGAACTGCCTCTCTGTTGCAACTATACAATAAGCATGTCCCAGTTTTGAAGCAACATCAAGTACCGGCTCCCTCCGCATCGATGAAATATACGTGCTGCTACTTCTGTGGAGAACAAGGCCATTAATCCCGGAATTGTAGACATGGGAGCAAAGTAGACTGTTGGCAGTGTGGGGAACCTGGCCACAAACAAAAGTTCTGTCCGTACTAGAATAGGGGCAACGAATGTCTGGCCGAATATACAGAGAGTATTTCATTAAGTCTGCAAAATAACTAATTTACTTATACAATCTCCCCTGGTATTTCTATATTTCTGTTATATTCCTACATTCGATAAAAAAATCAATCCCCGCTCTTACAATCTCCCTGGTATTTTTATATTTCTGTAATACACATACATTCCCTCGTTTATTTCAAACATTAAAATTTTTACTTTACAAAAAATCACACAGCGGAAAAATAATAAGGAATAAGAGAAACAACGGAATATCAATAGGTCTTTCCAGAGAAAGCTGGAAAGTACTAATAAAAGAAACTAAATATATTTTTGGGTGGGAACTAGAGAACATTTGGGATCCTTAACCGATTTCTGACACAATAACTGTTAATACACCAACAATAGCTCTACTGGTCAAGTTTCTGATTCAAAGGCAAGAGAAAACTATACTTGATTTTAATAACGATGAAAGTCTTAGTGATGATGAATATGTGAACCTCGTGGGGATTTCCAAGGACTCGTATATAGACTTACATCTAATAATACATTGATGGGAAAGTTCAACTCACTCCAGCAAGATCTTTGAGGAAAGGTTTAGTGATATTTTTAATTAATATAAGAGGAAAAGAATGTAATCGAGTTCTGTCAACACTACTCAATGTCTCAAAATCAGTATTAGAAGATGCATCAGTTCTGTGCGATCAGTCCATACAAGAAGATTTGGGTAAGCGAATTTGGGTTTCCAACACATCACATGTTCTGATGTCAAACAGCACCACACAAGAAAGATCGCTCAACCTCTTTCTGGAAGCAGTCCAGCTGGAAATCAGGTGATTTTGGTTTCGAATGGGACATATACATCTACATAAACAAGTGTGGAAATTTTCTTTCCAAAGACAGTCTTTAAGCGTGTAACTCAAAGGACGTCCTTTATTAAAGCCTTTGATCATTGTGTTAACAACTGGCCACTTTATCTCAGTGATGGGTCCATATTTTGTTCGAGACAAAGATGTCAGTATAATCAAACATATAATGAAGAATAACATTTAGGACATTCGTAACTGGCTGCTAAAGGACGGTATTTTTATCGTTGATTGTGGAAGGATTTAGAATCATATACATATATCAATAGACTTTAATCCATGTGTTGTTAGTGACAAGACTGTTTTAAACTTTTAAATAAACCAGAAGTCTCTGTCGAGACTGAAGCTCTACTGGTTTGAACTTATGACAAAGGAAGACAAAGAACTTAAGAAGCTGGGATTTGAAACTTTATAAACAGCATTAAATAGAATAATAATCGTTGATAAAGTCTCTTTATGTTCTTAGAGTAGTCTACTTGTGTGCCAAGTTATACTGAAATCAGACCAAAACTGTAGGAGGAGTAGCATTTTGAAACAATTTTACAGACATTTCTATTTTTAGGAACCACAGCAACACCGTTATCAAAATTAAAATTCAATAAACAGAATTATGTACCTTAGAGTATTCTACTTGTGTGCCAAGTTATATTGAAATCAGACAAAAACTGTAGGAGGTGTAGCATTTTGAAACAATTTTACAGATATTTCTATTTTTAGTAACACGACAACACCTTTCATTGTAATCAAAAACCGATACACAGAATTATGTATCTTAGCGAATTCTAGTTGTTTGCCAAGTAATACTGAAATCAGACCAAAACTGTAGGAGGAGTAGCATTTTGAAAGAATTTCATAGAAATTTCTATTTTTAGTAACTACGGCAACATCCTTCATCGAAATCAAAACCCGATGCACAGAATCATGTATCTTAGTGTATTCTAATTGTGTGCCAAGTAATACTGAAATCAGACCAAAACTGTAGGAGGAGTAGCATTTTGAAAGAATGTCACAAATTTCTATTTTTAGTAACCACGGCAAGGCTGTTCATCGAAATCAAAAACCGATACACAGAAATATGCATCGTCTCAAGCCACGGTCCGGAGTCCGCATATAGCTCTCTCCTACCCGTGGCTGCTTGATCACAAAAAGTGTCGTAATCTTGAATATTTACGCCTCTCTATTGTGACGTCATATTCAGTCAGTGACAAGTTGTGTTTCCATCGCAATTGAAATCAACAACTGACGTCGACAGTATACAAGAAATATTTCCTTTACTGCGATTGGATTTTGAAAGGTCGTGATAAAGTTCATCTTCCGACTATGCTTTACTCGCATTGGTCAATATTTTAATGAGCTACGACGAATTCTCGCCTCGTTCAACCATGGCCAGAATGGGAGAGGATCGTACATTTTGGCCGTGGTTTGCGACGATGAGAAATATGTATCTTAGGCCATTTTTTTTAAATTTAGTTGTTTTACGGATCCGCCAACCTCATTTTTGTAGTTTTGGAATAAAAATAAAAATTCAATTAAATCCTTTTTTATTTACCGTCGACCGAATTCTTCTTCAATCATAACAAAAAAATCCGGAAATGATCGTACCTGGTTTAAATTTTACATATTCGTGATCAAAATCATGTAAACGCTTAAAATAGTGACCTTTTAAGGTACTGATTCAAGCGTTTTGTAGTTTAAGATGAATAAGCATGGTTTTGAGGTCATGAACAAGCGTGGCCTTTTATTTCAAAACAGAACTTGAATGCTTTAAAGATAATAGTAAGTGTAGCACAGTTTTCATGAAATGTAAGGATGACCAGACAGTCGGCGATGCTGTATACGGTCTCATTGGTGAATGGAATGTCGTGGTGGATGAAATAAGTGCCAAAACAAACAAATCAGATGCCGGCACTAGTACTCCACCCGACACCCCTGTGTCTGTTCTTAGAGGTTTCGGGACGAAGTTCTTAACTGTAACCATTAGATCTAAAGGTTAGTTTCTTCAGTTCATATGCTGTTTTAATATGACTTTTAAGCACGTATTCAAGTGCGTTTCAAAAATCTGCAAAATTTATGTTGTCAAATAAAATAATTTTATGTTGACTTGTACAGGTATGAATCTATCAAATAGTTCTGACATCAAGTTTTAAATTTAAGATGTGGAAAAAGAAACTGATGACTCATCAGGATCTAAAGCAAAGAATGCTTTAAGCATACTAATGAATATCAACAAAAGTTATACAGAACTGCCAGAGAAGAGGTTGGTATATGGTACAGATTTTAATGATTCATAGTGCTAATGAAAGTTAAAATATTTAAAACCTGGATAAATACTTGATCAGTTCAGTACATATAGATAATAAAAAATCAGAATCTGCAGTTACAAGAAATTTGTGGTTTAAAAAAATAACTTAATTTTCTTTATTTGAATATATGTTATACAATACAGGTATTTTTTTTAAGATATCCTAGTAAGAAGGTAAATATTTCTCTTTGACATAGGTGTGTGAACTATATTTAACCCTTTCTTCTCTTTGACATAGGTGTGTGTACTATATTTAACCCTTTCTTCTATGTCCATATTAATGGTTGTGGCTGCAATGTGGCAATGTTATCTGGAATTAGTATCTTTGTATAACCCTCTCTAGCATTAGTTCATTTATATACATAAGCGCATATATTAATCCTTTTAACTCTACTGTCAATCCCTGTTTTATCTGTCTATAATCTGTATCCTATCATTTTTTTAATGCTGTGCCAGTCAAGTATGGTGTAAGTCAGTAAATGAAAAGCTTGGATCTTACTTTGGAGTTTGTATGAGACTTTGATCCATGTAGATAAAAAATATGGAGAGCAGCATATATTAATAATTTAAACATCTTGTCTGATAGGAACTCTTTTAATATTTTCAGAAATGAGATCAACTCGAAAGACAAGTTATATAACCTGGTTTTGAAGATCATGAAAGAAAGAGGTGTGGGGTTTACTCCTCTACAGGTAAAAAAACCCCAGACATTGATTGAATCATCTTTTTTAATTATACCGTGTAAGCAGAATTTTTAGGGAGAATTTAATTTTGGCATTATTTGTGAGGGTGCTCAGATTGCTAAAATTGAATATCGCTAAAAATTAATTGCATTTTATTTATAATAACTCCTTTTGTGAGCATTTTAAAATCGCAAAAATTACATCTAGCTAAAAATAGAATACCACTTTTTGAGATCCAATCGTTAAATTTGTGTCTCGCTTAAATATCCACTTATATGGTTACTCATTTATTCCATGAGGAAAAATAGAAAAATAACCAGATTCATTGCTTTGGTTGCCCATAAATAGCACTTCTTATAATAGAAGTAAGCTTACAGTCATATAACATGCACGCCCTTTTAATCAGGAAAATTTCATAGTAGTATTGTTTTCAAAATAATTGTGTAAACTGTAGGTCGGCACACTGGGGAAGAGTACAGTAAAGACTTTGTCTGATACACTATGGTATCTGGATCCTCATGTCCCCAAGTTTGAGCAGCGTGAAATTCATTTTCATTTGAAAATTTCAGAGGATTTAATGAATGGCGTGCTCAAAAGAAGAAAGAGCCTAGGGTATTTAATTCTATAAATATTTTGTATTAATTAAAGTGTTTTAAAATTTAAGAGTAATAATCAGATAATAAAAGTTTACACTTTTTGACATTTTTTATAAAGTACTATTATAATAAAATCTATATATTAAAAATTTCCATATATTAAAGTATAATGTTCTTCAGTAGGTTGAAACCCCCAACAAAAACAAATCCAAATTAATAAATGATGACATCAGTGACTTAAAATGAACTATGTAAATTTCTATTTTATTTGATATAGATTTCTGCCGAAGAGTTGCATGTCAAGTTAAATTCCCTTGTGGACATGCTATCATCGCCATATTTTCTAAGTAAAAAAGGAGCTGAATTGGGGAAGTTGTGCAGTATATTAGTGGAGGGAACTAGAAAACTGACCAGTCAGCAAGGGCCCCGCCATGGGGTAGAATTAAAATGGTGCAGCTTACAGAATGATTAATAAATGTACAAAGAAAAAGCAACAGCAACTGTATTCTTAAAATTTCAACATAATTCCTGAATATTCAAAAACCTGAAAATAATATTCTTGTATTTACATTAGGCAGTAAAGAAGAACTTAACATTGAATTTATATTTAAACAATTATGAATCTTGTGTTATATAAAATGCCAGCCTTCAATGAATGCAAATATCATGAAGGCTTGGCCTTAACTTCAAACAAACAGCAGTTGCAGACAAAGGTTTTCATTAATCTTAAAGTGACATATAAAGAGAAGCCTACTAAATTTTCTGAAGCAGGCTAGATAATTAATCCCAAGGGATTAAATGTACCTCTCTTATCATTTTCTTCTAAAGTTACAATAAGAACTTTTTCAGTATTAATGATAGAATGGGGTTTTTATACAACTACATTAAAAATTAAAAACATTCTTGAATTAATATATTTTAAAAAAAAAAGGAAAAAAGTGAAAAAAAGTACCCTGGTAAATCAAAAAATCTTCTTTAATCTATTTCTTTTTTAGGATTCAATGAAATCATAACTATCAAACAAAAATAAATAATAAAAATTTATATTTAAATCCACATTTCAGAGTGTTCATAGCATTCCAAATTGATTTAACTTAAAAAAAACTTCATTTGCAGACAGAGGTGGTAATAAATCTCAATGTGACAGATAAAGATAATGCTCTGGATTTTCTTCAGGAGGAAAGCTAATTAATCCCATGGGACTCCTAGTAGTATTCAGTTTACTGAATGGGAACATCTTCAGCAGTTATCTCTCTTTGCCAATGCATTCTTATATAAAGTTAAGGAATCTACCCCACCACCCCAGCTCCAAACCAAGGGACATAGAGAACTAATTTTAGCATCAAAATATGAATTTTTGCCTACTGAACTACCGTACCAAGTTTGATCTTAATTGGGCAACCATAAAAAAAGTTGCCCGCTCATTCTTATGCATAGTTAAGGAATCTACCCCACCACCCCAGCTCCAAACTAGAAGACATAGAGAATCAAACTTAACATTAAAATATGTATAAAATATATATTAAACTACCATACCAAATTTAAACTTGATTAGGCAACCATAAAAAAAGTTATTAGAAAAAAACAGAAAATTTGTGGACGGAAGAGTGACAGACAGACAGACGGACAGACAGAGTGATTACTATAGGGCACCCGCAAATCCTTGCGGGGCCCTAATGAAGAAATATTTTGATTTCCTAGAAAAGCAGAATGAGCGTTCCAAAATGAATAACAGTGTCCAAGAGCCTGTGGGATCTCTTAATGATTCATGGTTAATGAGAGCCATTCCTGTTTCTAACAAATTGGAACCAAATTATGCTCCTTTGCATGAAGCCTTGAACAACTTTGATGTTTTTGAACCACTGTTCCTTTACAACATCCAACCCGATGACCGCTTCGATCGTAGAAACTGGATACAAAAGTTGACTTTACCTTATCCATGTAAACTCTACTCACACTCATTTGGAAATTACTTTGGTAACTTCAATTTTGTGTGGAAAATATCAAAAGATGAAGATTCTGCTGAAGGAGATTTGGAAGCAGTGGGAAGTATCCGAAATGACCTGCCTATATTTTCAAGTAGAGCAATGAGAAAGGGATTTGTCAACAGATATTCCAAATGTGGAATGAAGCCAGCTATTCTTAGAGATGTAAGAAGATTCCTGACTCAGGATTCATCCTCTTGTGACAGTAGCAGGCAGCAGGAAGTTGATGAACGTTTTGCAGAATGGTTACTGTCTGCTGATGACACCCAACTTTTCTATGACAATGGACGTCCCAAGGATGAAGAATTAAATCCTTTCTGGGAAGGACTTGAATCCTATCTAAGTGAACATGCTGTTGTCCATGAGCGCAGACATTCACAAAGCATGTATATGCCATTGGCAATGAGTGTTGAGGATCTTATTGATATCATCCCTAAAAGGATTCCTGAGGGCTCAAAGATACCTTCCAAATCATGGGTTTCCTTCAACTTTTGGCCCAGCAATCCATATGTTAAGTCAGCTATGAACTACACAGGTAGATTCCAGGTGAAATATGCAGTGCAACATCGTTGGACCAGAGCTAAGCACCCAGATTCATCATTTGCATTTCACCATCATTTGCATTTCACCAGTTTAGAATGATGAAAGAGATGGCTGTGAAGTATGCAGAAGAGGCTCACATGATATGCCTTGATAACAAGGCCATTGTACCAGTGGGGGGGGGGGGGGGGCTCAGTGTCCCATTTCTACAAATGTTCGTCCCCACAACAGGGCGTTAATTGCGGTGGGTGCGACCTTATCGGCACTTGACCACGATTTCCATGTCCATGGTATCATACCATCAGTGCTGTTCAAATTAGACATTCCTGAAAGTGCTGATGACAGTTTTTACTACGGAAAAGTGCATGTGACAGTAAAAGATAAAGTGTTTCAATCTTCTAATGCAATAAGGTACTGTGCAGAAAATGTAAGGATTCTCAGAGAAGAAGACAGTCAAGATGGCGTAGAATTAGCCAGGCCAATTCTGTTTGTATTTACCGATGGAGGCCCAGATCATAGATCCACGTATTGGAGTGTTCAGTTATCGTACCTAGCCATGTTTGTAGCACTGGATTTAGACTTGTTAGTAACAGCCAGAACAGCCCCAAGTCAAAGTTATAATAACCCAGCAGAAAGATGCATGAGTTTGTTGAACATAGCTTTACAGAATACAGCCTTGCAAAGAGAGAAAATGGAGGATCAGTTTGAATTCAAAGTAAAGTCACTCTCCTCCTTGAAGAAAATTCGGGATGCTGCTGAAAAACAACCACAGTTGAAGACTGCATTAATTGAATCACTTGAACCTATTCAGGCTAAACCAGTTGCCACACATGATGCATTGAAGGATGATGACATTCAGGACATTTTTGGTGTCCTTGACATCTTCAGAGATGATGATGACAGTCCTCCCATTTCTTCTTGCAAGGATGCCAAGCACTTACCCGAGAAACTGAAGCAGTTCATTGACAACCACTGCAGAGCCCGCCATTATAGTTATCAGGTTCAATACGTTTTTTCCTGGTTTATATTCAGTCTTATATAAAAGAGATAAAAAGTTTTCTGATTTGAATGTCTGGGCTACTTTTAAGATTTCTCCCTTTTCAGGTGAAGAAGTGTGGAAAATGTTGGTATTGTATTAGTAACCATGCCAACACTTCGCATTTTGTAAGAATTTCGTAGAAATTTCTATTTTTAGTAACAATGCTAACACCGTTTGTCGAAATCATAAACCGATACACAGAACTAGAGCAAAGCTCGTTGCAAAGCAACGAGTAGGTCTTCCGTCCTGTTTTGACCGGAAGTGACGTCAACAAAAGAAAGCAATGAGCTTAGTCGTCTCCAGTCACTTTATAATTTCAATTTTGCCTCAAAACTTCAAAAAATAAACTATTTTTGGCTACTTCCGGTTTGACCGGAAGTGATGTCGATGGACGGAAAATTAAGTTTTATGCTTCCAGTGACATATGTTACCCAAAAACTTGTCAAGAACGGCAAAAATATGCATTTTCTGGCTACTTCCGGTTTGACCGGAAGTGACGTCGCCGGACGCATTTTGACGACTTCAATAGATTAAGCTTGACATTTTGAACAACTTTGCTTCTTGGATGTATTACAAATTCTCAATACTTTTTGAGATATCTGGAAAAACTTTTGGCCCCTCTAGATCCCTTAATTTAGGGGTCAGCCCTTTTTTCGAGATATCATTTGAAAGATCTTGTAATTCTGCACAAATTTTGTTCTATATGTTTTAACTAAATATTTTTAGTTTAGAAGATAAAAAGCAAAATATGTGTAAATTTTCGCTCTTTTCTGCGTTCTAATTTTTGACCCCTATATAGCACCATTTTGAATAGAGAAATCGAAAAACAAAAACCGCCATGCACAACTTCAATCCTTGTATTATCTAAAATCAGTAAAATTTCTGCTCCAGCTTTAGCCGTCTCTGAGCCTTTTTCTGGAAACGAAAGCCTATAAATTTTTGTTTAAAGGGAAATAACTCAAAACCGGAAGTGACTTTTTGAAATTTTAGATAACATTCTGATAGAGTTTAGTAACGTCTATAAACTCTGAAAATCTTAGCAAAATCCATTGAGAAATGAGTGAAATATGAGGCCTCAAAGTTGGCGTCTAGGAAAGGAAAAAAAAAAGAATAATAAGAACTAGAAAGTCTGCTATTGCAAGCAATAGCATATGTCGCCCCGTATTAGACAAGACTTTCATTTTTATCATCACTAAAACAAAAGTCCATAAGCTAAGTTTGAACAACCATTGAGTTATATCAGTCCTTTCTATTGGAAACGGAAGACCTTAATTCGGTACATCCCACTCATTATTTTTAGAATCGGTAGGAGAAGAAAGTAGTGCAGGAAAATTACAAGTTCCTCAATTTGCAGACTTGCATAAAAGAAATCTGGCAGATGTACTGAACTGAGCCTCATACTTGTTAATTGGCAGTAACTTTCCTATGATAAAAGCTTTGGAAATGTAATTTATGAAGAAGATCAGCCGAATTATTTTGTGTATTGTAACGCCAGTGAGAACTCTGAAATTTCCCTCTTTCACTTTCATTTTAGAGGTTCTACCGAAAAACGAATCTGACATGCCACCATCAATTCGAGCTTTTCTGCATTGCAGAGAGCTGATGTGTGTTATGAGATAATAAATCATGTGTGAACTTTCTCAGTTTAGCGGAATCATGAACATTTTCGGCGAGATGAATGTTTTGTATACAGTGGTGATCAAGGCTTTGCGAACCATCAGGAGTGGATCAAAGAATTTATAAATGAATGAAAACTATGGAAATGACGTACCAATTTTTTAATTTATACTTGCACTATCTAATGAAATGAATAATATACAAGTGATACATATACAAGAAAACGCGAAATGATAATAAATGCAGCTGACAATCGTTATTTTTTTTTTATATAGATAAAATAAAATATTTATAAATTCAAGAGACAAAACAGAAGGAGAATGAATGATGGCAAAATATCACATGACGGGAACTGAATTTTATGAATGAAGATTTTAAAAAGTTACTTGTAAGTTGTATATGTTATATCTGTGTATTCTACTTGGCTGTGTGCTTCATAAAAAGAGGGGGGGGGGCGTCTTGAACATAGTAAATAGCCATAACGTTTGAACGGTAAGTACTAGGGCTTTCGTATTTCAAATATGT